TCACTGGCCTTCTGTGGTGTTCTCAGTAGTTAACAGTGTGCTGAGAGCCACATGGTCTTCATGGTGAGACAGCCTTCCCACATGTCTGGTTTCAGTCATTTCTCTCCAGCTCGGTTGCAGCGATCCTCTGGAAGACGCAGTGGCAGTGAGCCCACACTCGCGTTGAGGTGCACTCTAACCCCAGGGACGGACTTCCTTTTAGGACCCCTTTTCTGCCCAAACGAGAACTTAGTGCCTCGCAGTGCTCTGTCCGCCCAGTCCACCTCAGAGTGTCCACCATGAGGTCAGCTGTGCCAGACAAATCCTGACCATCACGTTAAAGAGCCTGTGGGGGGGGGCTGAGGTTTGCAGCTGCCTGTCGACTATGATAAAGTCCAGGCTTCCCTTCGGAGCAGAGCTGTGCAGCCCCCCTGTGGCTGCGGATTTACTGTATATCTCCTTATTGCACAGATGTACAGATAGCCACAGACATGTATGCTCCATGTATGTGTACATGTGAACATTAAACACTTCCGTGTGAGGGAGAACACACTGCTCTCTCCTTATCCCCATGTGTGTACCTGAGCCCAAGCAGCAGCAGGACCACAGAGCAATGCTGCAACCCCAAACAGAAGGACAAACGTACCAACATTAAACACCTTGGTTCCTGAAATGATGGTGGAAACTGAGAGTCAACTAACAACCCCAAACAGAAGGACAGACTCACCTCCATTAAACACTTCGGCTCCTGAAATGATGGCGGAAACTGAGAGTCAACTAACAACCCCAAACAGAAGGACAGACTCACCTCCATTGAACACTTCGGCTCCTGAAATGATGGCGGAAACTGAGAGCCAGCTACAACAGTGCGTACAGCTGCCAGCACACAAGGTGGAGAGCTTGCTGTACAGAGGTCAGGAAGGTCACTCTGTCCTTCTGAACTCACAAGGGCAGCCTCATGCCTGGCTGCTGTTTTCTAATGAAATATTAACACGCAGTAGGTGTTGGGTTTGCATTATAAAAAACGTCCTAGCATGTATATTTTTAGCTGGGACACAGTGGTATCAGTTAAAATAATTAGCCCCAGCCTGTAATCTCAATGCCTTATCTCTCTACTCTTGCTTTTTTAGAAGGCAGATGTTTTAAAACTGATTTGAAAATCAAATTTGCCCTTCAGTGATTTCATTTGGAAGAAACAGAGAAGTAAACATTATAAAGAAGGCTTCTGGGCACATTATGCATGCAAATGTGTCAGCCAGTCCTTCTCCAGGAGAGGTGGGTGACTGCTCAGGATGGGAGGTTGAGTTGTTTAAATGAATACAAAGGTCACCAGCCCTCAGAACTATGTTCTTCTGTCACCGGTAGCGGCTCATGCTTCATGTTAAACTCCACCTGCCAGAAGGAAGCAGTAAAGGCTTCAGCAGGCGAGGGAGGTGTGAGGAGGGCCACTTCCGCCGCCTCACTGCTCCTGTCTGATTAAAGCCTGCTGCAGTCTCTCCCTGATAGACTCCAAGGTCTGTCTGGCCTTTCTTCAAGGGTCAGTTACGGACTGTCTGTGCAGCCTAGAACCGCGGCGCCTCCCACCCCACAGGCTGGAGTGTATTAGGAGCTGAACAATAATGTCATGAAAATAAATGAACAGTTAAACTGAGGAATGAACCAGTGAGTAATTAGACTTTGGGTACTGTTTTGTCTTTTTTATGGAGTTGCAACATGGATTTTGTCACACTAATAGTAAATTAGATAAAGGTTATTGCTGTGGAAGAGTAGAAAATGAGATTTACGCTAACCCAAACTAAATTCATGCTCACTATCCTGAAGATTGGAAATCGGAGTCGTCTTTCAGGTCTGGATAGAAGGGCTCTGTCACTAAGGACACTGACTGCCCTGCCTGAAACTGCCCTCCTGGTTGGGCAGCTTTCCAGAAGGCCCTGGAGCTTCCCAGGCTGGCTCGGCATTCTCGGGGAAGGCTAACTAGAGAGAGCCAGCCAGCCTGGGCTTCGAGAAGAGCTGGCCTCTTCATGTGGTGTTAACCCATACTCTCAGGAGCCCTGGTAAGGGAGGTGCAGCCTGGAGCCTCCGGGGAAGAGCTTTATGCAACAGTACAGTTCTTGGGCATGTTTCCCTGTTTTTCCCTTTGGAGATCTTCATCACAAGGTCTTGATGCATGCGATAAGAACTTCTGTGGGCTCTTCTGCGTTCTCCCTTCCTTCCCAGCCTGGAGACAGTGCTCTTCAGGGGGGAGCATGTATTGCAGCCTGCATACATGAAACAGCTCACCTCTGGTTAGAGCCGCTGCTGCTGACTCCAGAGCATCTCTGACTATGTCTAGTAAGGCTATCTATTTGTATGCCTCTAATCACTTTCACGGAGAAAAGGGCTCTTCTCCTTCCTTAAGCAAGCGTTTGAGCGCCTGCTGGAAGTCAGACAGTCAGCACCGCATCCATGCTCGTGCTCTGCTTAGGCTCAGGTTGAGTACTTGCTCGGCTCAACTATTGAATGCTGGAAAGTGAATTTTCTGTGCCATCAGCCACCCTAGGAAGTCTGTGGAAGCAACAGTCTAAGCAGCCACTCATGGGGAAAAAGTAATTTAACCAAAATCATAAGTGATCTCTGGCTGTCTTAAGAGTATAGCTGTCTAGCATCATGGGCGAGGTATTGGGAAGAATATAAAGAGCTGGAGACTGTGAAACAGTGTCTTCTGGACATGGCATGGCTGTTGCCTCCAGGAGTCCGCAGCAGCGATGGTCTTCTGTGGTGTAGCAACTGGCCAGTTTCCTGTTCTCACGGAAATGGCAGCAGCTGCACTCACACAGGCAACCCTAGCACAGGCAACTTTAATTCAATTCATTTGGCCAAAAGGGGAGAAAGGCATGAAACTCAGACAGGGTCTCATGGGTAAAATGGGATCCACAGGGGGAGTGATGAGAGAGGATAATGTCTTGGAATATGAGCAAAGAACGTTGTATGTGACATTGTGAATGACTAGATTATTTTTAAATTTTTAAAAAGAACACAACTATTCAGGCAAGAAAGGGGCAGAGGAACCTGAGGTTTACCTGTCCCCCCATTCCCAACCCCCTTGTGGAAGACAGGAAGAAAGTATGCCAGCCTCACTGCACAAGCTCACATGGAAGACAAACGGGTCTGCTGCAAATAAGAAAGCATGCTGGCCCCATGCACATGTGCACGGCCTTCGCCATGATGGCCCCAGGATGGTAACAATTCGGATGTCCCTGGATAAGAAGGGTAAACAAAACATGGTATGCCTATCAAATATTATCTGGCGACTAAACGGAATAAAGGACCAGTGTGTGCTTCAACACGATGACCTTGAAAGTGTTTTGCTGAGTGACAAAACCCACAGTTATAAAAGACCCCTGACTGACTCCATGATTCCCTGAACACAGAGCATCCAGATTACTCTGCAAGTCCAGGAGAGGAGAGCAGTTTGCCTGTGCGCGGTTGGGGAGGAGTGCCTGTGACCGACGACTCAGTACAGACTGTTTTCTGCCACAGTGTGAAGGTTAAGCTTCTGGAATTGCTTGTGGGGATAGTAACAAGCTTTAAAAAAAAGTGGTGGTGGGGACATAAGAGTGGGTTTCATTGCATGTGAGTTAGATTGCAGTTCTTACTTAGAACAGACATGCTCCAGGGCTGACACTGCCCTGCAGAGACAGCCTGTGCCAGGGATCAGGGCAGCTCAGGCCACATTTGATTTGCTGTGTGTGTGCTGGATATTTAAGGAGAGCTCCTCCCCTGCCTGCCCCTTAGTCCCCATGATTTTACTCCTCCAATGTGAGTGACAGGGTTCCTTCTTACACACATTTCACTCCGTGTTCAGATCCAGAGCTCTCAGTCTGCTGCGTTTGGGTGAGGGGAAGGCAAAGCATAGGCCCCTATGCCCTCCTATCATGGAGCTAGGCTGCTCAGTGAAATTTGGCACATGCCCTGCCCGCCTGGCTCCTCGTGGCCTTTGCAGCCCCTTTTACAGCCCACTTTATGTGTTGGCCAGTAGATTATTGGTGTGAGCCCCCACTGTAAAGAGAGTCTTGCGCTGACATTGTAATGGTATTCTAAGTCAATGAAAGTCAGATTTTAAAGTCAGAGCGAGCTGCCCTTGGTGTTACACTGGGCATAAATGTATATAAATGCAGGAGTTGGAGGCATTTGCATGAGCTTGGCCTAACTGAGCAGTAGCTCTCTTAAGTAGTTCTTTTGATATGAAAACAGTCTGATTCTTCAGCCACAGAGCTGTACCAGCAAAGTAAAGGTCCTTTGAATGTGGTTATAAATGGCATGTCTGGGTTAGCCCACATAATGCAGCTTTACTACCAAGTATTGTCTGACCTAACTCGGTGCAGGTAATTCAATTTTATTCCTTGATGGCATCATAAAATATTGATAAAAAGTGGATAATAATAGTGGCATAATAGTTGGAACCAAGAGCCATTTTTATTAATGCCATTGAAGTCCTAGATAGATTTGAATTTTACCATTCAAATTCTCACCACCATGCATTCATTCTCCAAATAATCATTGGGTATCTGCTAAGTGTTGGGCACCAGACAGGACAGACAGTACTGTCACTTTCCTAGTTTACATCTAATGGCAGAAATAACCAGATAAACTTACGGCTATTGTTAAATTCTATGAAGCAAGTAAAACAGCAGATAGAGAGTGACCAGGCAAGGATGGGCAGGGCCACCTTAGTCCATAAAGGCCCCTCTGAGATACTGGAGCCAAGATGAGTGTATTAGGGTTACTATTGCTGTGAAGAGAACCCATGACCAAAAGCAACCTGAAGAGGAAAAGATTATTTCACTCAAACTTCCATATAACAGCTCATCATCAAAGGACTCAGAACAGAAACTCAAGCAGGCAAGGAACTTGGTGGCAGGAAGGGTGCTGCTTACTGGCTTTCTCAGCCTGCTTTCTTATAGAACCCAGGACCACCAGCCCAGGCATGGCACCAGTCATGATGGGCTGGGCCCTCCCCCGTCAGTCACTAATTAAGAAAATACCCTACAGGCTTGCCTCCATCTGGGTCTTATGGAGGCATTTTTTAAATTGAGGTTCCCTTCTCCTGATGACATAAAACTATGCAGGACAGTCAGTGACAGACACCAGCCTTTCAGGGCTCAGGAAAGAGCTTCGGGTGGGCTACAGTCCTGAAGCAAGAATGAGCATGTCAGGACAGCGTGGAGACAGCTGAGGCTAGGAAGCCAAGGGTGACATGCAAGCCAGGGAGCAGTCGGATCCAAAACAGCATTTAGGTCTTGGTGTGAACTAAATTTTGTTCAAAGAGCAGTGGGGACTTGGGGTGGCAGTATGTGAGGAAGTGCTCTTTTGTTTGTTTTGTTTTGAAACATGGCTCCCTTTGTGGCCCAGGATGGCCTCAGACTCTCAAGCCTCTTCTTCAGTCTGCTAAGTGCTAGGATTGCAGGCATGTGTTGCAATGCCTAGCTTAGTTCTGTTTTCAGATTATTGGTGCGCGGGACAGAATCCAGGCCCCTGATCCTTATTAACGTATGTGTTCTAGCCCTGAGCTATACACGCAGCCTATTTTGTCTTTCTAAAGTTGGTTGTGGTTGCTGTATAGGGACTGTTTGGATGGGGCTAAGTGTAGAACTGGGAGCCCGTGAAGGAGACGGTGGACAACCTGTATAACACATGATGGGGTTTGGGCAAAGGCAGTGATGGTGGAGATGGTGGAGGAGTGTTTGCCTGTGAAGTACACGGTGCTAATAGGTTTGGCAGTCCAGGCAGGGGTCCAGCAAGGAGAGAAAGGTCTTGCATGACTTCCTGCCCTGTCCCTGGTCCTGAACGTTTTATTGTTATCCATGCTCAGAAAGCATGTCCCTCAGGGTTCTGCATAAGACAGGTTGGGGTTGGGAGGGGGAGTGGGAAGGATGAATAATGTGGTAGATGACAGATACGATTTTCAGAATGATCTCTGCAAGCCCTGAAGTGGGACCAAAACAACAGGATGGGGCTTAATGGGGATAAATGTGGTGCCTTCCATTTAGGTTCAGAAAATCAATTCTCTAAGTACAGGATGGGGCAGCAAAGCTGGAGAGAGGTTTATAGGCAAAGAGCTAGCCACAAATTCAATATAAACTAATAGTTGCCATGGGCTGCCACAAACCCTGAGTAACATGGTGTCCTTGTACCCATATGGCTTTCCTGTTGGACCTTTGTATGGATTAGGACACACCTGGGCACCTGTTAAAGAGCAACATGGAAGGCCAGATGATGAGAATTCAGTACGGAGATAAGATCCAGGTAGGTCCCCCGAAGTGTTGTAAGGTTATGGCCGTTAGCTTTAAATGTGTGTAAAACTACCATATGGGGTTGAGATCCTAATTCTTTGTAATAATCCCAGAGGCCAGGACCAAAATTTGTTAGTCTCACACCTCAGCACACTTAGGGAGTGGCCCTCTTCTCTGTGCTGGTCATTGTTTTGTTTTTGTGTCAAAGTGAGCTGAACATACAGTAAGAAAACACCTCCTGTAATCCCATTATCAGAAGGCAGAGGCAAAAGGGTCTCAGCTTCCAAGTCAACCTCAGCTACATAGCCAGCCTGGACTACAGAGTAAGAGTCCTGTCTTTTTAGGAAGCAAAACAAAATCTAGCATGTAATGCTTCCTTTAGAGACGGCTCTTAATAATGTTAGGCTTACAGCAAAAGCAAAGACAGATTTCCTGTATCCTCTGCCTTCAGAGCAAAGCCCAGCCTTCATTCTGCAAGTGCCCACTGTGAGCAAGTGAGCGAGGCCACTGTTCTGTCTGTCTGCTGATCAGAACACGAGGTGCCACACCTCTCAGCGTGGGAGACTGCGTACCTGCACCGCCTTCTCCATTCCTCTCCACAAATTGTGCGTCAGCAGTAGGAGTTGCAGGCATGAAGAAAGCGATCCCGCATTTGCTCCTGGGCTGGAGCTGCAACCTTCAGCAGGCCTCTCTGAGACACTCCTGAAACTCTTCCTCTGTGTGATAACTCAGCCTGCCACTGGGCCAGCCCAGCTGTCAGATCGCTTTCCTTCCCTGCCATATCAGGGCAGGGAACAAGGACAGGAGTGGGATTCTTTGCCGGATGGTGACAGTCAGTCAGACTGCTCTGAGCAGCCCCACAGCTCCAGCTGGTTTTAAAAGGCTCCTTGTTTAAGGCCTTCAAAAACCCTCAGAAGGCACCTGAGGAATTTGAAACCAAGATGCTGCGGAGCAAGAATGTCATCTGTGAGTCACCTGATCACCATGTGTCCCTAAACAACACCAAGTGGCAGCTCTAATGACTGCTGCCAGGACTTCAAAGTGCAAAGCCCCAAAGTGGGCTCATTTGGAGAGAAATCCAAATCCCAGAATTCTCAGTAAACTTGAAAGGACATTTCTCTGCCTCTCCAGATGATGCTCTGCATCTCCTTGCAGTAGAGCCTTTAGGTTCCCTGATAAGCAGCTTTGAACCAGGGAGACATAGGGGCAGGCTGCATGAGAGCCACTCTGGGGCACTCGTGTTAAGTGGTAACCCTCACCTTGCCCCAACCTCTGTCTGAGCTGTAAAATCCTCGGCCAAACTGTGGTTACTAAGTCGATTGCTTCCAAAACAGCCTTGCTGTCTTTGAGTTGGGGTTGCTCTGCCAGCTGCAGGCTCTGCTTTGATAGGCCACAGCAGTGCGTTTCGTGTCTAACTAGTGTTTTAATGTTTATGAAGAACTGTGGTTAATTGGATCCCCATGGTACCTCAAGTGTCTTTAGAAGCCCCTTGTGCCAAGGAAAAGGGTGTTGTGCTGTGCATGCACACATGGAAGCCCTCTGTCTGAGCAAGCAGCACAAGGTTTACATGGTCTTGGTGATGAAGGGAATTTGTTGTTGTTTTAAAGGGCGAGGCTCACAGTTTGAGGGGGTTCAGTTTATGGTTAGCAAGGTCCATTGCTTTGGGGCCCAAGGTAGGAAAGAAGCATCATGGCAAAGAGCATGTAGTAGAGCCAAGCTGCTCACCTCCTGGTGGTCAGGAAGCAGAGAGCGAGTTAGTTTTAATGGGTATGTAATAATTGGGAACAGTGTGGTATTTCAACATGTGTATGTTATATAGTGATCAAATTTGCGTATTTCGCTTGCTTATACCTCATGTATTTATCATTCCATGTTGAGAACATTAAAAATCCTCTCTCCTGATTATTTTGAAATAGTCAAAGCAATTTTATTAACCCCCACAGCACTCTAGGATACCCACCAGCATGTAGCTCCCCTCAAGTGTGACTTTGTACCTACTGGCCTATCTCTCTGTCCTCTCCCCAGTGTGGTCTCCTTTCTCCTCCTCTCTGCTTCCGTGATATCAGCATCTTCGGGTCCCATACAGAAGTGACGTCATGCAGCATGTGTCTTTCTGTGCCTGACCTGTTTCACTTTCATGATGTCCCATAGGTTCACCCATGTTGCCATGGTTCCATTTCTCTTGTGGCTTACTCTAGTCTATTATGGTCTACATATAATCCTAATACTTGTTTTTCCAAACTCCAGGTCTTGGCCTTTCTCTGCTGCACTCCGGGTGAGTGGAGCTGCCCAGCTAAACTCGTGGTCTTTACCTGCTTTGCAAGCACGGCTGTCAGGGTCATCTGCTGTCCTCGTGGCTGTTTCCTGGTGACTCCTCCTGCAGAGTTGTAGCACACACACTTCCATCTGTGTCCAGGAAGACCTGTCACACTCTCACTCCCCTGCTCCATCTTAAAAATGGTACCATAATTAGCTATGGTCCCCAGGTTGCCATGCTTTGATCGTCCACACCTCTGCCCCTTCTTTGAAACCAGTGTCAACCTATTCCTGGTAACTTGAAGGTGCCTGTGGTTGGGGCAGAAGCTCAGAAAAAGCAATGTCAGATAGGTGGTTTTTGAGACAGTAGTGAGGTAGTAAGAACTGAGCGCTGGACCAGATTACACTGAGGGACCTCAGGCTCGGGGTCCCTGTGAAAGAGAGATGTTGATGGCCTCAGCATCCATCCCAGGTGGTAGATACCTGTCAGTCATAGCTGTCAGTGAAGGGAATATGGCTATGTCTGATGCATCTGCAGCTCTTAAAGTCCATGCTTGCCTCCCGGTTCTCAGTGGAAATCTCTGATGTTCCATGAGTGACTCTCCCCAGCCAGACAGACTTGGTCAGTTGTCCTCAGCGCTGTGCTCTTTGCCGTCACTGCGGCTGTCTGTATTGGTAACCTTACATTGTTTTTAACCTATTTCATCCCCATGAAAATGGAAGCCACAGCTTGTTCATATTTCCCTTCTCGGCCCTCCATAATGTCCGGTAAATATGAAATCATCGTCCTAAATGAATGGCTCCTGAGAAGGACATCCATAAACTGTCCCCGTAGATCTTACCAGGCCCTTGAGTCGTCACCATTAGGTTCTGTGTGGCCAGCTTTCTCACTGTCACCTGGACATTCTGCCTCTCCCTGCTGGTTACATGGCTCAGGGGAACCTCAGTTTGTAGGACACACCATCAGGCAGGAAGTGGCACCCTCCCCACTTACTCCTGGTGTGGTGGAAGAAGGGACAGGTGGCCTTGGGACCAGATGCAGAGAGATGGGCGTGTGGCATGACTGAGTACCTCTGCTCTTCAGAACGCTGGTATAAAGACAACGGTGTCCTGGGATAGCCACGGAGGGTCACTGCCGTGTGTGGTAAGGCATGTCAATGTCTCACAGGAGAGCCCATTCAGGCATCATCCACTGTAGGCGGCAGAAATCCCACTGGAAAGTGGTTCCTTGATGCTCCATTTGCCTTTCTCGTCTGTTTGTGGGTCTGCCTGATTAGAAGGTAGAACTGTACTTGTGTTCAAGGCATTGCAGTTGTGTTCTGAGGACCAAGCCCTGGAAATGAGCTCGGTGTGAGCTGAAGCTCTGCGGTGAGTAATGCTGGGATAAGTGATTGAATGTGTAAGCATGAAAATCCACAGTGGGAGTACCGGGTCTGCCCGAGCATCAGTATGCTGCTCCTGGGTGCGCTGTGGAACTAGCCATCTCTTGATGTTCTTGGTCTTAAGCGTTTCCCTTTACACGTTCCCTTTCAAGTTCTGCATTCCCTTCTGACTCTGACTTTGCAGTAGGCCAAGCATCTCCATCACTCTAGTTTACACATGGAGTCTGCATGGCTGGTAATCTCTAGAAAGCCTTTGTGTGAGGTGTTGAACTAATGCACACATTCAGTGTTGGTTTTGCCCCAAGGATCCTCTTCCCCCAGGCAGTGGTGTGGGGTTTGGAGGGTCTTGTTCTCTCCTCACAATGAGATGGCCTCATGCAGAAGTGTGCATGTGTCCCAGCTGAGCAGACAGCAAGCCCAAGAAGTTCCAGGCCACGGGACTTGAGGTTCACCCTAGACGTAACCAGACCTTTGCCTGTAACGAAGCTGCGGTTACTGCAATACTGCGCAGAGCAGTAACCCTGGTCAGTATTTCCAAAGGCAGGCGAGTGCAGGCTAAGGCTTGGGGAAGTTGTTGGGATTGAATGTGACCAGGTTTCTTTTTAAAGAGGAGGAGAAAACAACAAAGGGAATCCAAGAAGACGCCTGACAGAAGTGTGAAGCTGATGAGCATGTGTGGTTTGGGGCGGGCAGATCTGCTGACCTAGGCCCCGCTTCAGCTTCTGTGAAGGACTTGGGTTTGCTTGTTTGAGATGGGTCCACATCTGCATCCCTGACTGGCCTCAAACTCATGGTCCTCTTTCCTCATGCTGGGATTACAGACACACACGGTAATTGTGGCCTGTCTGGTGTTTAAAGGAAGGTCATTGGTGCCCTCGTGGGACTGACAGACCTGAAGGGGGGGTGTTCAGTTGCTTGCTGTGGTCTTTACCTCCAGATCTAAGTCAGAACCTGAAGTTCGTTTCTGCAAGCTTGTCCGAATTCATTATTTTTTCAAGAGAAGAATAAGTTTAAACAGTAGCAAGATGGGGGCTGGAGTCTTCTTCCAGAGAGAACCCTGTGGGCATCCTACCACGTGTCCTGAGGTCACCCACCTATGCCCCTTGTCCATATCTGTCTGGTGACCTCTGCATCTGAGATGTTTCCATTTCTGAGGACAGCGGGAACCGTCAAGGCTGTGCCACAGCACCATGTAATCCACCCCCTTATCTGTGAGTAAACGAGAAAGGTAGCAGGGCTAAGCTAGTCTGTGCTAAAGCTCCATTCGTGTGATTTTGGAAGCATTAAGAGCGTTTTCATTTGTCTAAGTGTCAGGTGTGTCTATCTGCCTCGTGCTAGGTGCTCAAGCCAGCTCCTCCGCCCCTGATTCATTTCTTCTGGAATGCCCTCTCCTCTGTAGGGATGTGTGAAGGACAGACGAGGCCATCGCTCTAACAGAGTCGTCATTGTTGTTGTCTCCCAAGCGCACCCACGTCATGCCTGTGGCACCTACTCTCTGGACACAGAGTCTGTGCCCTGGCTGTGCGCAGGGCCCACTGTGATTTGGGCAGGGGGCAAGATGGTGGTGATGGCTTCCTGTGGGGAGACTTGGATGGAAGAGGCCGAGTAATCCCAGGAAGGCAAGTGCTGATTTACCTGTTTGCTAGTTTATTTTCTTTGGGGAGTCAGTGTTCCAATTTACTGCATCCCTTGGAGTTTTGACATATCAATTAGATATTATCGGCAGTAATAGAGGGGCAGTTGCTGTAAATGTGAAGTTTTTACTGGTAGGCCATGAAATGACACCCCAAGGGACTGTAACAGAGAGGCATGATAAATATCATGTTACCTAAGTGCCGGCAGAAGGCCTGATTAATAGGGGAGGGTGACTCTGTCTCCAACACTAAAGTGGTATTTATTCATTTGCTGTCAATCAAACCTTCTGTTCTAATTGGCTGAAAGGCTAAATCAACAAGATCTGCTCATAAACCAGGTTAAGGTAGGAAGAAAAGCAGAGGTAAATCATAATCAGTAGCTTGTTTATTTACTGCAGTGGTGCATCGGGATGACCTTGAGAGCCGCTTGTACCCTGCAGACAGAGTAGCAGCTCTGACCCAGCCTGAAGCACGGGTGGGGAAAGTGCAGGGAAGAGACGGCGCCACGCCCGGCAGCACAGGCGACCCGGAGACTGGGCCCAGCCTGCACGGCAGTGCCTCCGTGAATTAGACCACCGTGTCTCTCTGCTGTGTTCTTAATGCGCGACTCTTGTTTTGCACGCACTTGTAAAAGGAAGAATTACTTTCGAAAAGACAAATATATTTCCACACTAACAGTTTTATAAAGATGTCAGCCAATAAGTAGGAGCGTCATTAAATCACATTTTAAAGGCAGACACCTCGTGATAAATCTGCATTATCAGGTCTCATTTCTGAAATGAATCATACATTGTAAAACTTTATGAGGGTTGAGGAAAAGATCACTTGTTGGCCAGAACGGTGTACATTTTTAACCACACAGGATGGATAGCATCAAACACCACTGAAAACACGAGACGGGGACACCCTTCCTTAGCGGCAGTGTGTCAAGAGCAGGCTTATTCGGGGAAAACGCCAGTAGTAAATTCCGGTACAAGAGCTTTCCATCCTGCTTGCAGTGGAGCAGCTGGCAGAGATCAGACTCTGGGAACCACAGTAGGAAGGAGCACACCGACCCTTTAGGACAGCTGCCTATGGGCCAGCCGCCAAATGCCCGTCTTCCTGCGCTCCGGCTCACCTGCAGAGCACTTGAGCTGGGCACGCACCCCGAGGTCACCAAGCTCAGAGCCGTGGTGCTCCATTCTTACCCTGAAGCTCAACCAGCACACAGCTCGTGCATCTGCCTGCCATACTAAGCAACACGGACACCATCGTATTCCATCATATTAAAATACAGTAGCCAAAGAGGTCTAGTTGTCAGCCCCTCGAGAGAATCTCGGGGACAAGGACAGGAGATGGTGGGGAGTGTGGGAAATCTTGGGTCATTGGAGTGTAGAACGGCAAAGTAAATGTTCACAGGTGGTTTTGGTGGCAAAGCCACACTGAGCCTGTCCCTCGTGTGAATGCTTACCTCACTGTGCAAAGCCACGCTGAGCCTGTCCCTCGTGTGAATGCTTACCTCACTGTGCAAGCAACACTCCCTGCACCATCGACCTTTCCTTATGTGTGTGCCTGAAGACTTCCAGAGGGTACTGTTGTGTTGTGCAGTAAGATGGCAGGTCACCAGAATCCTGGACAGGGCGACATGATGGAAGAGCCAGAGGTCAGCAGATGGGGACTCCGGGTGGCTAATTCAATAGAGAGAATGATTGGCCTAAGAAAAGTAAGAGCCAAAGCAATGATGAAATCCTGTCTCTCCTCACCCTGCCTCTAAGGCAGTCTCACTGTTCTTGGCAAACCAGACGTCTTCTTAGATGCTGTACAAAGGGCTGCTCAGCCTGGAGAAGTGTTGTCAACACAGGGCAGGAGTGGACAGTCTATCTAAAGTCATGCTCAGTAAGGGATGACTTTTCCACACCAGATAAAACCCCGTTTACCACTAGAAATGGTCACTAAGTTCTTGTGCTAAGAAACACAGTTTATTGATCAATTTGTGTTCAAATTAAGGAGTATTAGATGAAGCCAAACCAGCACCATATTTCTGAAATTGCCCTATAGTGTCTTCAGTTTTTGCCAAGGTCTGACCCTGCCACACTCTTAAGCTAAAGGTCCTTGGTAGTCAACTCCAGACCAGGAGAGTTGGGACATAATGGTTGGGCCTCTCTATGGGGACAGTCTAGTTTCTGTATCACACAGGGCAAAAGCAAAATAAATTGTCCTGGGCAGGGAAGCCTGCCAGGGTCAGGAGTCTGTCCTAGAAATAGCACAGCCCAGAGACTGGTGCTCCTGGAGAATTCTGGCTAGTTGTGGTCAGAACATGAGCTTGAGACAAGACCCTGTCTCAAAACACACATACCAGACAGAAACCCAGCTACGGACTGGAAACCCAGGGCAGGCTGGAAAAGCTGCCTTTGATGAGTGTCCTTCTGTTGCTGTGAAGAGACACCGTGACCACAGCGACTCATAAAGTAAAACATTCAATTGGGGTGACTGGCTTACAGTCTCAGAGGTTCAGTCTACTATCATCATGGTGGGGAGCATGGCTGACTTGGTGCTGGAGCTGAGAGTGCTCCACCTTGACTCAGAGGCAGCAGGGAGTTGAATGACTGTCACACCAAGTGAAGCTTGAGAAAAGACCTCAAAGCCCGCCCCCACAGTGACACACTTCCTCCAACAAGAGCACACCTACTTCAACAAGACCACACCTCCTAGTAGTGCCACTCCCTTTGGGGGCCAGTTTCTTTCAAACCACCACAGTGAAATTCAGGGTTGAATGGAGCCAGGACCAGAGCCACCACTGTCTCCATTGTACAGGCCCTAAGCTAGGATGGTTTTTATATTCTTAAAGGGTTATATAAAAAATTAAATAGTATGTGACACAGACCTTTGTGTCCTTCAGAACTTTAAATACTGGCCCTTTGGGAGACAGTTTGCTGACCTGGGGGTAGACTTAGTTGTAAGTATAGAATGATCACTGCAACCTTAGAAAGAGCCAGATTCTACAGACCCAGCTACCCAGGCAGGACCCAGGCCGAGGCCCAGCTAGTGACTGTGTCCCTGCTGTACTCTCCTAGAAGAGCCTGGGGCAGGATTGGCACATTAGGGACGTCATCTGGGGCTGGCAAATGCAGGCTATTCTTCAAGGACACAAGTGGGTAGCAGCAGACATCTAGAAGCACCTCGCCTCCCGTCACTCATGACTGCCTGCAGGAATCTAGGGATCACGTGACTCAGCCTATGCAGGCAGCTATAGAGGGGGCAGATCCTGGGCCAACACCCACGAAGACTCTAACCCTGATTCCTCTCCTTTTCCACTGCCGCTTCCCATCCCAGAGACCCTGAGTGGACTGACCTCCACACTCCACCAGGAGTTCTGCCTGCATGCCAGCGACCCAGCCGCTGTACTAAGGTGCCTTCCTAAGCTTTGACTTCCTGAGGCAATGCCTCCAGCTTCCTCCTCATGGGCATGTCATGTCAGGCTCTGCTCTGTTGTGGACTAGGTAGAGCTTCTCAAACTATGCCCTCCAGGCCAATAATACCAGCTAGGAGCATGCTAGAAACATGCCACCTTTGCCTCTTCTCCAGCCTGTAGTGACCACTGTCCTCCCCTACTACAAAACCAACCTTTTTTACTTCACATATGAGAACAGCCGGCATTTGGATACTGGAAACCAAAATGCAACCAGAGAGGAGAAAGCTGTTGTTGTGGTTGGTGGGTTGGTTGGTTTTTGGTTTTTCGAGACAGGGTTTCTCTGTGCTTGAACGCACTCTGTAGACCAGGCTGGTGTCAAGCTCACAGAGATCTGCCCGCCTTTACCCATCGAGTGCTGGGATTAAAGACTACCACCGCCTGGCTGATAGGAGAAAGTTGAAAACAACAAAGTGTATGATCCCAGCCTGCAGTCCACACCTGTGTCTGAGGGTGGAACCGTCCATCTATGTCTAGTACACCCTCCACATTGAGCCCCTCCCCCTAAAGCTTGAGCCTGAGGCAACATCAGAACATACATGGCATTAATGTACAAATGGTCCATCCCAGGGCAGTGGGAAGGAATCCCAGGCTATACAGCAGCACCAAGGGACTCTCTGTGGAAGGTGGTTACTCCTCTGGACATTCTTGTGAAGTTCACCGGCACAGTGGACCATCTCAGGAACCCGTAGGGACTGGACTGCCACGGCGAAGCCTTCCATGCTCTCGTAGGTGCCGAGGCACTGTGGACTCTGGAGAAATGCCAGCACTCAGGTGTATGGAGCGTAAGCCTGCTACAAGCGTGCAGGAAACTCTCCCAAGGCACCTGTGTGTTTGCTCCATCCATGGATAGGAAGTTTTTGTTTGGGGCCCTGCCTGTTTTGTTTTGGTTTTTTTTTCTTTAGTGTTTTATTTGTAGTGATGGTGTAAAGCCTCCTTGGTATATAATCCCACATCTAGACAGCTGCTGACTTGGGGAAAGCTGAGCTGTAGAACTGCTGAAATCCATCCGTCTGTGTATCTCACACCCACAGGCCTGCAGGACCGCCCAGAAGGACCCCCACTGACCCTGGCGCCGCACAGCCATGGCCGGGGCCAGCAACATCATCTGGCCGCTTTAGGAAAGTCTACTTTGTGCTTTCTCACACTTGGTTGAACTTTTCAAAAATATTGACTAAGCAACTTGCCAGCTGTGATTACCAACAGCTCTATTTGACAATCTTTGACAGAAAGCCAATGGGCGCATTCGACGTCACCCAGCACTAACGGGGCCTTCATTAGCAGCTTTGGAGGAGATGTGCGCTCTCCTCACCCTGCAAGAGTAATCGCTGTCCCCTGGTGCTGTTCACTGGGGCATTGGCAAACCGTTTGCTTAGCGAGCTCAGAGGCAGACATGCCACCCGCCTATGTGTCTCCATCGCTCTGAGAGTTTATGCTCTGATCTCCAGGAACACAAATAATGCTCTTTCGAAGCTGCTCCCAAATGCACGTGATAGGACATATCATGGCAAAGGTGAATTGCCAGACAGTAA